AAATTGGCAGGATAATGATACTTAAATGTACAGAGCAGAGGTATTCAGTTTTGTGGTAGAGAATAACTGTCACCTCTGGTAGACAGCAAAGTTAATAGATATTAAAAGCAAAGAATAAACAGAAGGAGTGTGACGAGGGCCTTCTCTACCTTCTCACCCCCATCTCCTGTTGAAGCTGTCTCAGTGCATATGAATAAATGCCAGATTCCCGGAGCATGAAAAAGACAGCAGAAGAAGGGGCTGTAAAAGGACCGGTCTCTGAGAGAGATGAGGGGAGTCCTGCACACCATTTCTTGCTCTGAGGATTTCTTATGTATTTTGCATTACAGTCACTGGCCAAAATAAACAAAACAATCCTTGGAACGGGGCCCAGAAACTAGGACCATCTCCTGTCATGGGGGTGCCCACAAATCTTTACAGATTAATTCTTCTTCACAAATTGGAAAAAAATGAATAAAAGCAGTCATTAAAGAGAGGTATGTCTCTGTGTCTTGTTTATTGCTTGTTAGTATCACCCATCTTTAATCTGTGTGATTTAAAAGTCAAATCGTTTTTCTAACCTGCCAGTATCGCAACCACCCAATGCATCAATCTGAATCTCAAGCTGTGCTTTCTTTGCCTTATACAAACCATCAGTCAGAACAGAGATCCAGGAATCAGGATTCAGCTGATGATTGTCAGTGATGGATGAGATAACAGAATGCAGTTTGCTCTTTCGCAGTTATATCAGATCTGCAGTGCCCTGCTGACAGCACCGCTAACTTGTTTTTGTCAGTAAACTGAGCAGATATGACTCCAAAGACACAGAGGCGGCAGACATGAGCAGTAACAAGGTGCCATCCACAAAGAATCACTTTTCTGGACATAACTGCATTTTAACAGATGTCCAGTTGAACATTACTGGAGACGCATCCATTATGAGCCTGAAAAAACAACTCTATTCTGAATGCTGTTTTTTCAAGCCAAAAACACACACGGTGCACAGGAATAGGCCAACTGTTTGAAAATGTGGGCAACTCCCCTGATGCTCACAAAACACTAATGTCATAAACCCCAGCATATTCTTCATTATAAAAACAAAGGCAAAAATCCAAATAAAAAAAAAAATTAAACCCTACCCCCCTGTAGTTAGGGAACAACTAAAAATCCTTGACAACTTTACAGTTTGGAGTAACACTCTATGTTTAGAGAGCACCATCTGCAGCTACCATTCTGTTGATGCCCTATATATTGCTCTCCAGAACAAATTTCATGAAGCATTTTTTGTTCAGGTCAGGAGTGGCCATCCCGGCTAAAAGGGCTGCAGTCCAGTGAGCAAAGTTGGAGAGCTGACTGCAGAGCAAATTATAAAACCTAGATATAAAAAATTTCTCCCACACACATTTAAATTCTCACAATACAGGGCAGTGTCAGGACAGAGTTCATCCTCTGTTCCAATGATTATGGTTCAAAGGACAGTACCCTTCATTTAACTGAGTCAGTAGTATCTGCAACTGCATGGGAGACTGGTGCTACCTTAGTCAGTGGGGGCACATGCCCCCCAGCAACCAATCTGACTGACAGGGGAGGAGGGAGTCCCCCTGAGGCCAATTGCGAAGTGGCCATGGTGCTCCCAGAAATGGTCACGCCCATGGCCGCTTCTGAGAGCCCTGTGGCCACTTCTGGGAGCACCATGGCGCTCCCACTCCCCGGCTGGCACTCCCCAACCAGCACTCTCGCCTGCCCCCCGCCCATCACCTAAGCCGTGAGCATGGCCTGTCAGGGGGTGCACTGGCACTCTCAGGGGGTGCGTGTGCACCTCTGTGCACCCCCTACGCATTGCCACTGTGCAACTGTGCCAGTCATGGCCATCTTCAGTTGTTTGGTTATACATCCACCTTCAGGCCACTCTAGTGTCTTCTATGGTTTGTCTAGATGGCATCCCTAGAAGCAAGTTCTTCAGCATGCCATGCCCACACCAAGCCCAGAAGCTTGGTAGTGAGGCTCCTTCAGGCACACCCACTCTGGCTGCCTTCTACCAGATAAAGCTCTTGAGTTTTGCAGGGAGTGCCACCAGGGCAGCTTCACCTCATTTCCAGATTGTAGTGTTTGAATGGGAATGGGTGGATGGGGTCTGCTTGAGCGAATCCCTCAACAGAAATGTTGGGGAGTCAAGACTGCAATGGAAGGGACTGTCTCTTCACCCATGTTTAGGCAGTATCCAACACAAGGAAGTTCCCAACCTGGGACCTCTCTTGTAATGGATACCTCAGTTTGCCTCTGTGACAAAATTATGAATAATTCCTTTTGCAGTACAGAATGGGAGGGCTAAACTTTCCTAAAAAACTGGCTCCACTCACCGCTATGCAAAATATCTTTTTCTGAAAACAAAATTAAAAAGAATCTCAGGAAAAACAAATTGGTCTCAACTTTTTTTCTGTTCCCTGAGTGGAAACTGCCCAGGCCACAAACAGGAATTCTTCAGTTTAAATCACCTTCTGTTTTTAAAACAGTGTTATAGATAATTACTATTTTGTCAAACTGACACATCCATCCCCTGCTCCTTGTGTATCTTCTAAGTCTGCATGCTTAACTGACACCAACAGAGTTTTTGCTGATGTCAGCACTGCTGGAATAATAGCTCTAGAAGAGCGAGCTGGGATCTGTTCGCCTTGTGCATTATCAATATAATGACTAGCAGTTATCCCAAAATTGGTATGATGATACTAGGAATGGGTGTAGCATAAAGAGAGAGAACACTTGAATTTGGTTTTCAGTCATCAGGCCCTCCTCTCCACTTTGTTAATAGGTATGGCAGTTAAAAAAACAAACAAACAACAAACGATCTTTTAGACCTGTAAACTGAGGGGCCTTGATATGGAAGCCATTAAAAGAGAGACCCCCAGGAGGTCATTTTCACAAAACCACGTTTCTGACTGTAACTTCTCTTTGACATGAAGAGCTAGAGGATCACTCAAGGTCTAACTTGCATTAGCTCACATCTCTTTAACCCACCACAAAGTTCTGCAACTTTGATGTGAGTTAATTAAGCTCACATGGCTTTCCCTATCCCACTCAGTTCTGGAACGAGGAGAGCCAAATTAGCTCCATCTGTCTAAGTGGAAGGGAGTTCTCTCCAGCCATAAAGCATGCTTCGTTACCCAGTACAGAAGCTGTCTTCCAAAATTCCTGAGCGCCAGGAAGGGGATTTCATTACTGCCAATACTTACCTGGAACAGTCCAAATATCTAGCTTGGAGAAGAGCAATGGATCTCAGGATTACACAGAGCTACTACAGTGCTCCACTGACTTCGATGTCTATGTTGTGGAATGCTCCATGCAAAGTTCCCCTACCAGCGGTGCATGCTACAACCATTATTTAGCATTCAAAACTACACCCTGAAAGCTCTCTCTTGTTTTTAATGGTTACCAAACTGTAACCCTGATAAATATATAAACCCGCACTGTATGGGGCAGGGCTCTTCGACTAAACTCTTTAGACAGAAAATGGGCTTGTGCTGTTCATCTCATCAGGCACACTTGCTGCAGCAGGTGGGGAAGGCGCTACTAAATACTAGAGTTACTTGCTAGTGGGAATCAGAGATTTGGGGTTGGAGAAGGGCAAGACAGGAGTATTCTAGTCTCTGTGTTCGTCAAGAAAAACCTAGGAGGAAAAAAAGACCTCTACAAAAGAAATGCATTTCTGGTTCTCTGCATGTTACACTTCCAGGAAAGCAGGGCTAAGGAATGACCTTGCAGCACGATTACCAGTTTGAGAGTCAGGTGACTCGTGTCTATTCTTGGCTGTGTCACAGAACAGAATTGTGTATCATTAGGCAAGTCAACTGCCTTGTTTACATAGATTATCAGAGGATCAAAACATGCCGCCCATCTCACTGATGCTTTATGAGACTGGGTTGTCTAAAAAGTCTCCAGAGATCACTGGATAGCACATGCTAAAGAGATGTGAAGTATTAACGCCACCGTACATATCCTTCTGGTTTGTATGGATATGTATTGTATCGTTTCAGACCTTGTTACACAAGCTAAGGTAGTGATCAACTTTGCACTTAAAATTTATTTACAAACTCTGTGCTCCTGCTAACAACTTTGGTTTATATCGGTCACATTATCACCCAAACAAAATCAAGCACACCAGGGGACAAGATTCAGAAATACTCTTAAAATGAAATTTGAAGACCTGAACGTGGGTCTGTGTGTTACTAGGAAACTTCCTAAAAATCTGCAAGCTTAAAAAATATCTTTACAATCATTCAAATACCACAAGCAATAATAATTCACACTCTACCCCTCTTGAATGCATTGATGATGATACGCATCCTACCTTTGTAGAGTGTCCAACAACTGTTTAAAGAACGTTATAATAAAAAAAAGCAGCAGCAATCAGGTAGAATGAAAGAATCTCACTTAGATTTTGTAATTAGTCTTTTGCTAAAGGGATTCAACTACCTGAAGAGGGGTTCAAAAGAGGAAGGAGCTAGGCTGTTTCAAGTGGGGGCAGATTCCAGAACAAGGAGCAATGGTCTCACATTGCAGAAAGGGAAATAGATATTAGGAAGAATTTTCTCACTAGGAGAGTAGTAAAACACTGGAACAGGTTACCCAGAAAAGTGGTGGAAGCTACATCCTTGGAGGTTGTCAAAACCTGGTTAGACAAGGCTCTGGCTGGGATGATCTAGTTGGGACTGGTCCTGCTTTGAGCAGGGGGTTGGACTAAATGACCTCCTTAAGTCCTTTCCAAACCTAACATTCTATAATTCTATGATTTCTTAAGTATTAAAAAAAATCACAATGGTTTTGGCAGGTTCCTGTCTCACATCCAGCCCATGTGGAACTCCTGACCTGTTAAGATTCCCCATGGCTTCATTAAGACTCCATCTAGATCGTGTGGTCTGTACATGGGCTGCTTCAGTTTGAGAGACCAGAATCAAAGCCTAAATATTCTTCAGGGGTCTAAATGGCAAAAGCTTGCAACTGCAAGTTGCAACTCTACCACTTACCATATCGAGATCTTGGGAAACCCTCCGTTTGCGCAGTTCTTCCATCCTCTCACATACATCAGTGAAACAGGTGTTATAGTAATCTGCATACTGCTGTGCCAGGTCATCAATGTTTCCCAGTGAACCATCCTAGGGAGAAGTAAATAAGGAAAATGAAGTTTGCTCCAACTTAAAAATTCAGAATTGAAAAGAATCATAACAACTCCAAAGGGAAGGATTTTTTAGACCTTCAGTGTAAAATAAACTGACATGGTGACTGCTCATGGCTATGGCTTGTTACTTTAGACTAAGGATTTTTTTTTACTATACTGGTAGTGTTTGAACTCATGCACGCTGAAGTCGAGGCAACTAAGGATCTTGCATCCAGCATGCCTAATGCTCCCAGCAAAGATTTTCCTTTTTTTTTTAAATAAACAACATTTCCAGTTGGAGTCTCTTTGTAGTTCTTCCTCCTGCAACAGGGACTGTTGTACCTCAATGCAAGCACCTAAGGTGACTTTTTCGCCCCACCTACAGGATGGCAATCAGGTATCATTGTCAGACTTATAATTATTATTATATTTGAAAGTTAAATCCAACCCTGGTCCAATGGATAGCTGACTATAAAGTGATCAAAATGAGTGATAACTTAAAAATTTGGAAAGAGTGCTTGGGATAGAAGATTTTCATATTTGATAAATTTATCAATTCCAGATTACGTTTAATTTGTCTCTGTGTATTCTCTCATGTGTAAACTTGCTTGGAGGCACGTGACTTTGCTTCTGAAGTCAAGTATGTAGCAAGAATGGACAGAGAATCTAAGGTGAAATTTGCATGGGATATTAAAGTATGAGGAGATGAGAGAGAAAAATATGTTGTTTACAGCAATAAAATCATATATTAAAGAAAGGAGCTCATTTACAGGGGCATATTTTGAATGTTCTGTCATGTGCAGTATTTTTTTTTTGTTAACTGAAATAATTTTTTAAGTTCCAATATAATATTTCTGTTTTTCCAATCTGGTGACACTAGAAGCAAACAGCAGGAACAGCTGGTGAAAGCAGTGGGTGTTCAGACAGTCTGAAGGTGAGGCCAAATATGCACCCAGACAGAGATGGTAGTGGTAGTGATTTACAGCCAGGAAACAAAATAAACTATCCACATTGTAGTCATCCTCCTCAGCACACATCCACATCCAGCTGGCTGTTCAAGGCACCCCACACTCATCCTATCACCAATTCTCAGCTGTACCCAGTTGATCCAGGGGAGCACATTTCCCCCACTATGTAGACTAGTTTCTTTGACAGTGGTAAACAACCACCCTGTAAGCATCACTCTTCATATGTGAGCAGGATGAGCAGCATTGAATATTATCCCAACCTGGGGACTGTAATCATGCAAATTTCTGTCAGTCATTTCAATTGACATTGCATCAGAGTACATGTGAAAAGGGAACAAACAGAACCAAGCCACACACCCATATCCTTTAAAAACCCACATCCTTTAAAATATTTGGATGTCTACTGTGAGAATCAATAAAGCTGGAAATATCAATCTAGTTTTAGCTCACAAGAGATTTCAGACAGCAGTTCTGCTGCCGCATTCTCATGCAATTACATCAGTGCCATCTCTTGGGTGAAGCAAAATCAAGACTAAATGCCTGAGACTGGAGCTTTTTGTCGACACAAAAACATCAAATTATTATGAAAATGATAATTGCCGTTCTTCATGGTACAAAAACCACAACTGGAAAAATGGAAGATTGCAAAAAATGGGAAAATTTCCTCACAGATGGGGGAAAGTGGAACATATAATATGGAACCTAATAGTGTATGATAAGTAAATTTGTTAAGCATAGACAGCATTTCATTAATGAAAATTCAGTTCAGAAAAACCTTGGCTCACTATTAATCCATAGCAGAAGGAAATTTAGGTTAGGCATTGTTTGCTACTTGCAAACAGGAATCAAAAGGTTTAATTCTACAGAAAGGAAAAATGACCGTTACCCTGATTTTACAAACAGGGAAACTTGCTCGCAGAGTTGTCCAAAAGTTGAAGGTAAGGACCCCAATATACATTAGATCTCCCAAAGATTATCTACTGGACAAAGCTGCTGTCCCAATAATATGATGTTATAATTGGTTGTTATTTGTTTATTAAAGCTGATACAGAATTATAACACGCTGGCTTAAAAGTGTTGCATAGAGTCCTAAAATTTGAGCACAGATTTAGGTCTTGTGCATATTATCTGTGCGTGGGGGGAAAGAGTGGGACAGAATATTTTTCATGTTCTTAGTTGTCTGATTGTAAATCCTGCCCTTATTATTTCATTGTAATTTTGCTGTCTCATTCCTGTTAAAAAGTCTTCATTGTGCTTTCCATATCTTAGCACTTAAAAAAGACTGTTTGGATAGATAGAAATGTCTATGCTCTTCCTATTAAAATCTCTGCATTGCAACTTAAGTACATATTTTTGACATAACAGTGTCTTAAATGTTAGAAGTGCCCAAAGCAATCAAGAGCATTAAAAATAATGATGTCTAAAAGTTGCAATGCAGACCTTTAATAAGCAAGAAAGTACAAAGGACCAAATTCATTAATTTTATTTTATTATATGATGACTGAAACTTGAAAGGGCCTGTTTGGTCTTCTGTTTTTTTTCTTGACCATGATGAAGAAACAGTATCTTTTACTCAGATATTTCCAAATGGCCAAAGAAAACAGTCCAATGGCAATCCAAGTTAGAAAGTAGCATACCTCAACACCGAAAACACAGGGTCTACCTATTTCAGCACTTTTCAACATGCTACACTGATAACACCAGTCCCCTGAAAGGTTTGTAGCTTTCAAGTTACAATAAGCCCCCACAAAATTTATACTTCTTCAAAATCTTCATGCTTAGCGCATACCACAAATGTCTTATGCATCATTTCTTGAAATGGCAGAGAGTAGCAGACTAGGTCTCCAAAACTACCATCCATCATTCCTCTAAATCTGCCACAGGTCCAAGTGTGAGACTTTATGGCTAGATACAGACATTCAAAAAGCTCGAGGCAAAAATCAATCTAAGTTATGTGGTTTCCTGTAAGCAGCATAGGTTAGATTGGTAGCAAGCAGAACACACGTTTGCCCTTTGGTGGGGGAGAGGGCACAAATCTTAGACTGGGTTCTGCCATCTTAAAACCAGTCTGTGTGCGCCAAACTTCTGTTCTGTTGTGGGTGTAGACTAGTTTTGTGCGCCAGACTTCTGTTCTGGTTTCCAATTACTGATACCAGTAAGGGTGTAACATCTGTACCTAGTCTATGTGATGAAGCCCCACGCTGACATAAAAACAGCATTTATGAAGGGTACTTAAAATGCTGTAGGTTTCAATCCTCTACTGTAAATACATTTCTTCAACCTCATGTTCCATGAGCTTAAAAGTTTGACCAATAATTTTCAACAACACAAGTCAAGGGACACCAAATTTGTGTGGTGCATAAGCAACACTGGGATTAAGATGCACAGACTCATACCTACAGGGAAGCATGCTTGAAAAGATGCTAGCCGTGGACATCCTTTTCCAAAGCAGTGGCCCTGATGTCTGACCAGCAGGTATGCTGCACAAGCATAACTCTGAAGTTTCAGCTTCCAGTTGTTCCACATGATTACTCACTCCAGAAAAAAAGTTGCATAAGGAAACTTCAGCCTCCACCCGCGCTTCAAGCTCAACACACCTGCTTGTGTAACCAGATATGCTTTTCAGCGTCACCGCATCCCCAACTGATTCTACCTGAGTGATCCTATGCAAACAAAGGACTGCCTTTGTAGGTTTACCCATGAGGTGAGGTTGCCAGCTCCATCATGCAGAGGAGTAACTGGAAACTACACAAGATGCTGCAGGCAAACCCAGGATTTGTCTGTTTAACTGTCACATGTGAACTGCTTTCTTCATGACAGAGCTGGTACTAGTTTCCAAGCGGTAAAGGGCAACCTGAAATCTGATAGTTAATCCTTCCGTGGAAACAAATGGTTTTCACTTGCTTAAAAGATCTGCTGTTCACTCCCAACTGTAATTTCTTGCCTTGCCCCACTGGTTTCTACTCATTCCTTTACAGGCTTGGAGGAATGAACAGGAGGCAAGTTGGAAACAATAACGACAGATGAGCAAGAAAGAAAAATTTGCTGCTGTAAAACTGAACAGAATTGACAACTTGGTTTTGATATTCATTTTTCTAAATGACGGATATCTCTAAACTACATGTAATAAACAAACACAAAGTATACGCTATATAATAGAGACGTGATTTCTTTAAAGTATCAGAGTACCTACCTGAGCCTGAAATTGCCAAATGTACTCCAAATATATTACCGTATTTTTTCACATGTAACACACACCCCTTTCCCCCCAAATCACCTGCTGGGGGGGGGGGGGGG